TTTCTTATAAGATAGAAGTGTTTGATTTTTAGAAGATATTTATCTTGCCTTAAAATAAGGAGAAAATCAGTCCAATATGACTGTCTTTGAGCCATGATGCTCCATGTGGGAACCCATGATCTGAACACATTCCTGATGATTAAAACCTCTTCACAATGGCTCTGTTGAGTCTTGGCCACATTTGAAATGGTTCAGAAAAATTTTAACAATTTAATTTTTGAGAATTTCAATGCACATTTATGTAATTTCTACCCCTTCCTATTCCAACTCCTCCCATGTCTCCACTATAACTTCTCATCCATGACTCTAGAGAAAACTGACTCTCCTTCTCTTGGCATTCATTGTCAGATGTTCTTCTTCTGAGTATGTGGTCTTATGCAATTGTCCACATTAATGGCATGCCAACTGGTTTGGTCAGTACACAGTTTGTGTGTAGGCAGCATTATTATTGAAATCTCATGAGTTCAGAATCCTTGTCATGTCTTAGAGATACTATTTTACAGCAAGCATCCTGGTCCTCTGTCTCTCCTGTAGTTTTTGATCACATCTTCTGAGGCATTCACTGAGTCTTAGTAATATTTTGAGACAATTCACTTCTCCTGAATATTATTGTGTATTGCACTATAAAGCTATGTATTCTTTTTGCAAGAATGTATGTAAAGCATAAGGACAAGAGTCAAGGCCTTTGCCGACTATAGCAGCATGTTATAGCCATTAGCTGCAAGGAATACATTCCAGCCTCCCATGAGCAATTGTATTTCTACTTCTTAAATATGATATATCAATACTTTAAGACACATACAGAAAAACGTTAAATACCACTTAAAATAAAAATTGGAGAAAGCATGTAATAACTAGACAGCAACTAATATCAGCTTAGAAATAAAATATTTCTAATACCTGGAGCAAAATACCCCACATAAATTTAAGTAGAGACGATTGTTCAGAAGGTTAGTGCTTACAGCTTGGGAAGAGGGAATGTTTATATATACATATATATATGATATATACTTAATATAAATTAATGTACAAAATTATAAATATATAATAATAAGTATATGTTCTTGAAAAGTCCTCGCCTGGATGTGTCCTTGAATCCTAGCTCTCAGGGTTATCGCTTTAGGCAGCACTATACAAAACAAGAATAATGTGCTCGTTTTTTTCGTTATTGAGCCAGGAATTTGCAGGAAAAGGTCAAGGCTTCATTTATTTTGAAAACTAGAGCTGGACCAGCTGGATGGGCTACTCACACTTTACTTTTCAGCATGCAGAATAGGTTTCTGCCTTTCCTGCCTTTCTACCACATACTGTGTATATTTTAAACAGAATTATCTTGGTACCTGGGCAAAGTGTAACTTGATTACATACAAATAAGCTAACACTTACTTCTAAATATAAATGAACATTTTTTGTTCATTTGTTTCTTACAATGAATTCTGTTTCTTAATCACAAAGTTTAGAGTTCTTTGAATTTCTAATATATTAAATAAAGTCACTTTGCATACATGGTAACAATTACCCTATTAAAAGTATTGAATAATTACAAAGGAAATTTTATAAGGTTTATTAACAAAACTTGAAATTGGGATGAAATTTATAATATTATTTGTTTTGTATTATTTTCATTAATATTAGTACAAGAGACCCACAAGTGGTCAAAATGCAGAGAACAACCTGAACTGATACATTTATATACAATATGACACATATGTACAAAGCTCTAGGAAGATTCAGATAACCACTGATGTATGGGTTTTGGAAAGCAGAAATAAGATTACAGCACATTCGTTTTTGTTCTGATGGAAATTCTGATTCTGTCCCTTACATGATGCAGACACAGCAAACTACAAAGAAAGCAGAAGGAGTCTCCTTCGAACAGTGGTTCTCAACTTTCTAGAGCTGTGATCCTTTAATATAGTCAGCATGTTGTGCTGACATCCAAGCATAAATTTTTTGTTGCTACTTCTTAACTGTAGTTTTTCTATAGCTATGAGTCATAATGTAAATATCTGTCTTTTCCCTTGATCTTAGAAGATCCCTGTGAAAGGTAATGTGAACCCCAAAGATGTTGTGAACCCCAAGTTGAGAACTGCTGAGTTATAGTAAGATGGAAAGATCCCAGAAACAGTTGATTTCATATGTAACAGAGCTCAAGAATAACAGCAAAAAAATATTAACCTGAAATGTAAAATTGCTCAAATTTATAGATAAGAAAAAGTAAGAGTAGTACTAATAAGATCCAAATGGTACTTTTAAAACTTCACTGATGAATCACAGAAAATTTTGCTAATACTAAATTTAAATTTCATAAAGTAAAATCCATCTGAGATTTACATGCCTGCTATGTGAAACTCTGTACAATGCCAATAGAACACTGATGAGTCTTGAAGTATGTTTTATTTGATTTATGTTTAAAGAGAAAGGACCATACTACGCCAGAGGCTCTAAAATAACATTTTAATTAAACATTTTACAATATTTTATTTGCTTACACTTTCTGAATTAATATTCCTTACATGGAATTGTTGACAATAGTCATGTTCATGAGTTTGGGTTTTTTGCTTAAAATACAAAAATCTAGAGTGAGAATATGACACTTTTAGGTAAAGTAAAAAGTTAGGTGCTTCATTTGAATCCCCAAAACCCAGGTTAAAGTTAGATATTGCATCCCTCTGTAATCCTAGATAAGAAGCCTTGACAAATGAGTCTCCAGAAACTAGTGGCTTAGCTAAACTAGTATATGCAGGCAAGACAGCAGAGAGAGATTCTGCCTCGGAGAAGGCAGAAAGCAAGGAAAAAATATCTTAGGTTGTCCTGACATACATGCTATGTTACACACCTATCTGTTCTAACACAGAAGAATAGACAAACACAAATGGATATTTACACACATTTATGTATAATTAAATTTTGTAAATTATGTAAATTAAAGTTTCCTATTACTTTGACTCTACTAACCACATTTTGTTGCCTCATAATACATTACAACTGTCACATGATTGGTAACTGATCTGATAGTGGAGTAGTATAAGCAAGATTTCTCTTAATGTCATGGATGGTAGTCAAACAGCTTCTTTCAAATACAACTTTTCTTGTTGCCTAATGTATCATGTCATTATTACAAGTTTTAGATTTCCTGGTCTGCCTCATACCCATGGAATCACAGAAAGTACTTCCTACTGGATGCAAATGTTATTGTAGTGATGACCTACTCAGCACAAGTATCCCTTTATGTGTATGTATTTCATTCACAAAAAAATGTAATATATTCCATGTATTGAATTTTTATTCTTCTCTCAAATAATACATCCGACCACAGCTTCCTCTCCCTTCAGTACTCCAAGCCCACCCCCCATTTCTCCCAGATTCACTGCCCCATCATTTTCCTTCAGAAAAGACAGGCCTACCAAAGATATCAATGAACACAGCATAACAAGATGCAATAAAACTAGGCACAAACCCTCATATCAAGACTGGATGAGTCAATCAGGATGAGTAAAAGGGTCCCAAGAGCAGGTAAAAGAGTCAGAGACACTCTCACTCTCACTGTCCTTGTCCCACAAAAATATCAACTAAGCAACCACAATGTACATGCAGAACCTAGCTATGGGTCCTAATATCTTTCCTCCTCCTCTTCTGTAGGGTCCCCAATCTCTGAGCAGAGGGACCTGATGGAGACCTTAAATTTAGACTCTTCCTCTGCATATTGTCTAGATGTAGGTCTCAGCATCTGCTCACACCTGCTGCTGAAGGAAGTATTTCTGGTGAAGACTGAACAAGTGATCAGTCTATGAGTATAGCAGAACATCATTAGGGATCATTTCACTGATGTTTTTTTCAGTTGTTTGTGGTTTGATGCTAGATCTCAGAGGTATCCACCTTCTGGTTCCTGGTCATCCAGATGGTATCAGGTATTGGCTCCCTCTTATATCATGGGACTCAAGTTAGTGAGTCAGTGGTTGGTGACTCCATAAGCACTGAGCCATCATTGCCCTAGGACATCTTGCTGGAAGAACAGATTGTGGATTATAGATTCTATGGCTGGGTTGGTGTCCCAGTCCCACGACTGGAAGTCTTGCATAGTTATAGAAAATAACTAGTTCAAACTCTATATCCTCCATTACTAGGAGTCCTATCTAGGATCACTCTCATAGCATCTAAGGAATTTCGACTGCACTAGGTTTCCACATTGCTTCCAAACACACCCCAGTTCCAGTCATCTATCCCCATAATTTCTCCCTTTGTCTCTCTCCTCAATTGAACCTTCTTGTTCCCTTCCCATTTCATTCCCAATCCACTGGCAAAAATCTATTCTATTTACCCTTACCAGGGAGCGACATGCAACCTCTAAAGCCCTGGTTGCTACTCAGCATATCTGTATTGAATTATATGGAGAGTATGGGCAAGTGCTAAAATGTCTTTAAATGTAATATGTCTCCTGAACATATATGTCTAATCAACAAGAAAAATATCTCACATACCTAAAACAATGTTCAGTTTCAGCAGTATTTACAACCAACATAATCATATATTTTGAATAATTTGGATATTAAAATAGTACTGCCGTTTATATGTTTGAAACCAATGGACAGAATTAGAGTTGTACTACACTTGTAGAGTGTTTGCCAGGCAAATCAGTTGGATTGATATAGTATATCATACACCACTATTGAAATTACACAATTACCATCCATCATTCTATTATATACCTAGTTATTGTATATTGGTATGACTGAAGCCACCATGGAAGGGGAGGCCCCTTCCTCATAACACAGATCTGCTAACATCAATACCTGAAACCACAGTTTCCTGCTTATAGGTAAATTGAATCATATCTAATTATATCTTTGTTCTTGGGTAGAGACATGACATTCTGAAGTGCCTGAAAGTCATTAACAGATAGCTAATAATAAGGTCAATGTCTAGCTGAAGTATTTCTGAAACAAATGAGGGCAACCATTGCCCCTGCATGAGAGAAATCAAATGCACCTGTCACTCACCTGGACATAAAGACATTTCTCATGAAGAGCTGTCTGCTCTCCAGTGTTCAGAAGCAGTAGTGGTCTAATTTGTAGGTTGGCACAATGATCTCTTTGGCCATCATATGTGTTCACCCTGGGAATTTGCTCTGTTCCACTCGGCTTATCTTCTTCATGGTGATTTGTGTGGAGTTTGAGTTCTCTCCTCGTAGATCCTGTGGACAGAGAGTCCAAAAAAGATCTTGATAACAACTGTGCATTTAAATGAAACATTTGTATCTTCATCACATATCTAGGGACTCAGTGTCAACCAAAATTTTTGTTATTCTTTTAATTTTATTATCAATATTTCAGTTTGAGTATCAGATCATTTTCAACTGTTCATTTAGTTTTATTTTGGCTGTTGGAGTTTGTATCATGGTGGAGTACATAGTAAACTCTTCCTCACCTTTGAGCTACAGAACTAGCCCAATTTTTATTTTGTAAAATCTAAATGATTTGGTTTGTTATTAACCTAATTAATTGCATACATGGTTTTTACATGATAGTTTAATTAGTTTGGGAAACATTCTGAATTGGCATATATTGGCCTATTGGTTATTTAAAAGAGAAATATTTGCCATTTATAATTTAGTATTCTAAATTTTGCTTTAATAAGTGTAAACATTATAAAAATACCAACATAATAGGTGTAAATGTTATTAAATACATTCTATAAAGTACTTCTATTACGCAAACACACATAACAAGTTATAAATTGCTGGAAAAATTCTTTTTACTTAAAATAAATATTTAGTTCCATATCTAAATATTTTTCAAATTATTTACTATATATATTAATATCTTTATGTGAAGAAAATGTACCTATTAAGAAAAATTCATATTATTTTTTCTTTTTTATTATTTATTTTTAAATTTAAATTTAGATTAGAAACAAGGTTGCTTCACAAGTCAGTTCCAGGTCCCTCTCTGTTTCCCTCCCTTCCTCCAGTGGCCTCCCCCTAACCCCCCACCCAATATCCCCTCATTTCTGCAGGGAGGGTGAGGCCCTCCTTGGCGGTGTCCGTAGTCTGTCATTTCATCCAGGGCAGGGCCTAGACCCTCCACCAAGAGTTCAGGGTGAGAGTGCATCTCACATTGTTGGATGGGAGTCCAAAGTCCATGTCATATTAATTATGAACTAGAAAATAAAGTATATATCATAATTCATGTTCTAGTATTCTTCAGGCAGGACATATATGAACTGATTGCACAGCCATTCCACATAAAATGTGTGCTTTATAAGAGGGAAGAGGAGTAAATACGTTGTTATGATTATTAAACTCTATTAATGATATTTAATCTTTAGAAGGGAAAAAGGTACCTATAGCTCAGATCCTTTTTTTCTTATTAAAAAAAACCTCTAGATACAATCTACTTTTAAATTTAATATTATATCACCTCAAAACACTCATTGCTATCCTGATTAGAAACATTTTATCTCTACCATGCTCAGAAAAAAAATTTAGTTTAGTCAACTTATGATTATTTTTCAACATCTTCCAGAGGAAAATGAATCAATAAGACAAAACAAACAAAAAAAATGGACTTAGTTAAAATAATCAAAGGCAAAATCAAGGGGTGAGTATTTGGGAAGGTAAGGTGAGAAATGAGGGAGACTTTGGTTAGGATTCCAGCTTCATGAGCAATTCTCTGATTTTCAGTCCCTCCCACCATTAGCTCTTACGGAACGCTTCTGTGTAATGGATAAACCATCAACCCTTAATGATAGGTAGGGGAAGTACATTTTCTTCTAAAACAAGAAGCACAGACAACATCACTCAAATTTGACTCAGAGGAACAGCAATCTCTATTTGTGTAGAAACTTGGCCTGAGCATTTGGAAACTTTTCAACTCAGTTTGGCTGTGAGTAACACATAACTCAAAATAATAGTGCATTAGCCAAGATTGGCGTCTATTGCTTTCGCACATAAGCATTTTAAGAAGAAAACCCAGACCTGTAATGGAGTGTTTGCTCTGTATATTCTTCGGAAGCTGAATATGCTTCTCTAATGCTGCTTACTCACCCCCTCACTTCATCCTGAGGATAACATCATAGGGAAAAGGCTGATTAGGATCCAAATATTGTCTTTTCATTCAAGATGGAAGAAAGTGAGGAGTGATGGATAAGAACAAAAAGAGCCTCTTCACTTTTAAAAAGATTTAGGGAAACAAATCACAGACATTTTCTCATGACACATCCCACAGGCTAAGAAACCACTATCAGATAGGTTATGGCCAAGCAGAATCAGTTTGCAACACTGACTTGTGAAGTACCCTAAGTGTCTAAAGAAATACTACATACACAGAAAACATTGTTACCATGTTTTTAAAAGGGCTTGCATCTGAGACCCACATGAGGAGCATTCCATTTAACATCAAGGGAAACTGTAACTGAGCAGTGATATCATATATTATAAACAATGAAAAGTCCTAAGAATTACCGAGTAAGCATATGAGTCTCGATAAAAATGCGGATTACTGCTTAACACCACATCACATATCCACATACAATTTCTCAATAATGGGAAGCAAAAAAATACAACAATAAACCTCAAGTCTCATAGAGTTCACCACAATACTCTACTGATAATGAAAACTGAAAGAATGAACTCAGTGTTGTCTTTGTTCAAGGAATAACTACCTATCAAATCTACTTTCCATCTATGATGGCTCATTTAGAGTAGCATTACATTGACCTAAGACCTATTACAAGGTGCAATGTAGGGTTTTAAGTTAAATGTATACAACTGCAAACAAACTTAGAGGATTGGCAATGCACAGCTATGTAAAAATGCCAGTAAATGTACAGTAAAAAAATGAGAAAAACACCTAGTCATACCCCTTCCTAACCAGAAAAATGCATAAATATGCATCTTGTGTTATTCAGAAAACCTCAGCTCTCTACATTTGTTACAGAAGTTCTTGAAAAGGACTTTTAGAACACAGCCATTCAAGAACTGCCTTGCACAGACTTGAGCACAGGAGCATCTGCAAAATACACACTGCCTTGCCAGCAGACGTAAATCATGTCTCCTCACATCTTTCTGGGTAGACATTTCTTTCTTGTCACATCAATGAGAAAAATATCCTAATTTTCCTTACATCCTTTAATAGAAGTTTTTTATGAACCAGTTGCCTCAAGCTAGAAAGTTGTGGATTTTTGAAGATCTAAAACCAAGGTAGACACTGCCATTTCAGTTACTTGTTGGTGTTGGTATTTTGAGCAAATAATTGGGTAACACTTATTTCCTGGAAAAAAAGAAAGTCTGCAGATTTTGCAGTGACATCCCCAGCATAAGCAGTGGTTTCAATAATGGTTACATAAAATGTTAAGATACCACAGGAAGCCCTGTTTCACACTTCCAAAAACTGTTAGTGGATATGTGGGTGTGTGGGTGTGGAAAAATAGTCTGTATATTGTCACAGAGTTGGTAATAGAATGTTAAAAAAGCAGTTCACGGATATCATTTTGTAGGCAGTAGACAACCTAGTGATTTTGTGAAAAATGAACACTCTTGAGAAAGTCTTCTTAGTGCCTCTATTTTAAGAAAAAGGATTCTAATATGAACTTATGCAGTATAAAATAAAATTCACTGTGAGTGGCAGATGATTTTGTATCTAATCCTGTCTTCCTGTGCCTAGCAAGAAGAGATATTAGAGGGCCATATCTAACTCAACTGGCATCAACAGATGTACAATACTGCCATGGTTCTGTGGAAAACTACTCTGGGTAAAAGAAAACTAGAAATGAAATGCAGTATTTAAATATCCTGTGCCTATTATTTTTCCTATTTTAAATCATCTTTTCCTAACACGTTTCCATCATATTTTACCAAGATAGAATCCATAGAACAAACCCATATGTGCTTACTGGATTCTGGCTTCCAGTTTAAACTAATTACCCAGATTCTGTCATGAGTTAATAAAGCATTACTTTGTATTAATAACATTTTTAATGAATATCATGATACTCAAAGCCATGAAGATAAATATTCAGCAAGGATCAAGAAGAGTCTTAAGCTCAAGAACTAGATGTTCTAACGCAAAACAACAGCTCTGCAATTCGTTCCTCAACCCACCAACCCTCAACAACAGGATGCCATGTTAGATAATAGTTTAGTTTAGATGTGGTTGATATTTATTAATGTTACTTTAAAAAGAAATGGCAGGATTGATACTCTTCTATGTGTTTTTGCATAAATGCCAAGTAACTAAACTAATTTTTTTGAAATCTCGTCAAACATTTGCGAACTTAGAACAAGTTAGCATTCACAAAACTGGAGGGGAAACAAGAAAGTAAACAAAATAACCACAAAAATAGAAGACAAAAATCAAGTTCTTCCCTGAGGCTATCAAGTAGCAGGAAGAACTGAGATGCAGCCCCAGGTATCTGGTGTAGGTTAATGAAGGGACACATTCATAAAGCATGAATATCAGCAAAGAGAAGAGAACTACGAGAGAATATATTTGATGTCATGATGTAAGATCAACAAAATGGATCTAAAATTAAATGTGAAAGTTAAAACTATAACACTTCCCTAAGAAATGTTATCAGAACATGTCAATAAGAAAAGTACTTAAAAATTCTGATAGAAACTGGCACTGGTAGAGCATGACTTCAAGCTCAGCACCAGAGGGACTGAGGCAAGAAGACTGTCATGACTGTGAAAATGCCTTGTCTGCATAATGTGGATGTGCTGTAAAAATAATAGAGAAGACACAAATATATTTATATATAAAACAAATAATTTGAAATCAGATTTATAAACATTTTCTCTGTCCACAATTATAATGAATGAAAAAAAGTTTCGCCAACATCAGTAAACAAGTTCTAATACACATCTGTTATATGAACTATACAAAGACTTCTTAATAATATATAGTAAGAGAAGAAGTCATTATAAATTAAAATTCAGAAAATCTTAAGCAAATACTATAGAGATGAGTGAGCCCTCAACAAAGAAATAGAAAGATGCTTAAAGTCTGAACATATGAGGAAGTGCCAGGAGGTCACCATGAGACTCTAGATGAAGTGCACTATTCAACTCCAATAAAAAAGGCACCATAAGACTGACTTGCAGCATAAAATACTCCTCCAAACTGTGTAACATAGTATAAGACCACCATGAGTTTTAGGTAAAACAGTCCTTGTATATTTGTATATTAACCACTT